CTGCTAACATTTCAAAGTTAGAAAGAAGATTTAAAAAGGGGGGGGGGTGCCTGGGTGGCTCAGTTGGTTAAGTGTGGGACTTGGACTCAGGTCGTGATCTCATGGTCCGTGGGTTCGAGCCCCGCATCAGGTTCTGTGCTGACAGCTCAGAGCCTGGAGCCTGCTTCGGATTCTGTCTCTCTGTCTCTCTCAAAAATAAACAAACATTAAAATTTTATTTTCCGAAAAAAAAAAAAGGGGGGGGGGCAGGAAAGTAGTAGGGAAACCAGGTGGGAGAAACTGTTAAGAAAGTGCTTTTATTTATTTTTTTAACATTTATTTATTTTTGAGAGAGAGAGAGATTGAGAGGGAGACACAGAATCTGAAGCAGGCTCCAGGCTCTGAGCTGTCAGCACAGAGCCCAATGCAGGGCTTGAACCCACAAATGGTGAGATCATGACCTGAGCTTTAGTCAGACGCTTAACCGACTGAGCCACCCAGGCACCCCAAAAGGGTGCTTTTAAAAGGGGAAGCGGGCAGTGGTATCAGGTATTCTAAAGAGGCCAAAGGTACATAGGAAATGTAGACAAGACTGCGGAGAAGACTGATTGTTGCCTGCCCGCACCATTAGCTGGATGGGGATGCGGAAGCCAGAAAAGGGCTTTGGCAAAGGGAGAGAGCTAGATCAAGTTTGTCTCTCCCTCTCTCCCTCAGAGTACAAAACATGTTTACAGTTGAAAGCAAAATCCAAGAATACAGAAAGGCTGATACTGAAAAGAACCTGCCCCTACCCCCACCCTAACTCTCCCCACTGCAAGAGGCAGCTTATGGCTGTTCAATCTTCTAGTTGCTTCTGAATCTAAGTAACATGCTATGTCTCAATGTAGCAATGTTAGTAATAGATTACATATTGATTTGCTGCTCTTACAACCTTTCTGCTCTCTTCCCATGGTAGTTTTCTCCTACCAGATTTTCGGGCCATCCATCAAGTGCTCATGGTATGTCTGAGTACTTACTATTTCCTGCCGAGCCCAAGTAGTGTTCTGTGCTTCCATTTCCTTTCCTGGACAGCTTCTGGTTTTGTTTTTGCTTTCCTGGGATTTCTATGTGCTTTTCTTCCATCACCTTCTCAATTTTTCAAACTTTCCATCACAAGGAATTTTACGGATTCTTTTTTAGTCAGGTTCACTGAAAAATAATTGACAATGCAGCAC